GGGAGCCCGATGCGGGACTCGATCCAGGGACTCCAGGATCATGACCTGAGCCGAAGGCAGTCGCTTAACCAACTGAGCCACCCAGGCGCCCGCTAATAAATAAAATCTTTAAAAAAAAAAAAAACTTCTCTCAGTAGAGTTCAGATTTCAGAAAGAAAGATAATGAACTGCATTCAATCTAAGAATAAGGGGGAAGCAATTTTCTTACAGGCTAATTACAAAAATAAAAATAAAAAAAGAACTTCCCAGAAAAAAAACTGTCATGAGTTTTGACTCCCTTCTGAGCCAAATTCTCAAGTTTAGGATTTATTGAGCTGTTTAAAAATCCCTTCTATGACTTCTAGATAATGATAACAGACTGAAGATAATAATAGAATCTTTTTCCTCTAATATATAAATCCCTCTAAAAACAGAATAAAATGAAGAAGCCAGAATTCAAAAAAAAAAAAAAAAGGCAGCAGAAAATCCTGGTGGGAATCATGACTCTATGACATCTCCTGCCTACAGGGAGGGATTCTTTGGCCCGAGCTATTTAACAAAATCTCCGAACAGAGGGGTAAAACGCAAATCCTCCAACCAGAGCTGCATGGTGCCCAGCAGAGGCTCTTCCCAACCCCCAAACCCAAATCCCTTCTCTCTGGGTCACAGGGAAGAGCATACAGATATGGACAGAGCTGCTCACTTGTAACATAAGCAAGATGTAAAGAAATGGCATGGGAGGAAGGCAAGCATGACACAGAAAAAGCAGAGAGGAAAACAGCATGCGATAGAAAACAAACCCAAGAAACAAACTGCATTGTGACAGCTCTAGAAGAAATTGAAGCAATGTAATGAATTTAAGAAAACCAGACTTCAGTGCTGAGATGATAAAACAACAAAGAGAAGGAAACAAGAAAATCAAAGCTAGGAAAACAAACTGAGGATCAAAACGACACCATCACAGAACTATAAACACAGAAGCAACAGCCAGAAAACAGCTGAAAACCAAATGTCTAGAACAGGAGAGTCACAGGGAATGCAAAGGACAAAGAGAGGTGAAAACAACTGGACAGAAGATAATACATAAGGAGAACAATGGTGCCCAATACAAAGTAATCAGCATCCTTAGAAAAGCAAACAATAAATAAAATTAGAAATGCTCAAAGTCACCTCCCAGCGCACAAGAGCAGAGAGAGCGGGACACAATGGTGGTCACTACACTAATCATGGCGTATCAGCTATGGTCTGGAGTGACGTTTCTGTGCATGTGTGTGTTGGTTGTTTTATTTGTACTCACTTTTGGTTCTGCTTAAGATTTGTGTTAAGATAATATATTTTATTTTCCTAAAACCAACAGTCCCCATAGGGGGGAAAAAAGATGCCCTTTGCTTAAAGGTAAGCCAATATAAGCTGAGTACACTACAACCTTCTGCAAGTACAGGTCTCATCATTTATTACCAAGCTGTTTCATGCTTTACTAATGAAAAATACCTGCCGATTTACAGTACCTTAAAAGGAAGACTATTTAAAGGCAATTAATATATTCAAAAGACAGTAAGTCTCATTTTTTTTGGTGGCAAGTGATAAATTTAAACGTTTAAAAGCTATGCACCAAAAATAAGTATCTGCTATCAGATATTGGTGAACTAATTTATTGAACAGGTCTGACTGAATATAAGACATGTTTTTAGCACCAGTAAAAATAATTCTTGAGATTTCTAGTCTACAAACATCTACATGAGCAGTAATGTGCTCCCTGACGGCATCTTTTGGATAAAGGAACAAATGTGATCCAAGGATTAACTGTTAGGTCCCTGATTTTGCAACATAATTCATAGTGTCAAAATAAAGAAATCAACCCAAGTATTTTTAAAACTTTTAAGTTTTAGAGATGAATTTCTTCTTCCTTAAAGTTTTAAATTATGAGGTAGATATCATTCAAAGTAAACATCAAATGCAGCCAACTTCTGTTGACGAACATGATTATTAAACCTACAATTAATAGAAATTTCCATTAGGAAATTGAAAGTTTAAAAAGTAATGTTGATCAGCAGTATTCTGGCTTAAGTTTCCATATTCCTTCACCACTAGAAGTTCTATGAAAAGTGCAAAGATTTCGCAACAGTTCTCGAAAGACACAAGACTGTGAGGCTGATAACTTGGATTCGAACTCCTGCAGTATCTCACGAGTGCTGGCCTGGCCATCAACACGGGCCTGAAAAGCAATAAAGTTTCTCATTTCCACCAGTAGGTCATCATGTTCGGTGGTGGAGGATGGTGGAGCAGATGCCTCTTGGTGCGCATTTTCACTTTCCAGCCGCTCTGGCAGAATCAGGTGGTTCCTAGCTCTCATTTTAGCCAACAGTAAAGACGAAGAGAGGGACCCGGGTGAAGACTCTGCATCTTCCACTTTTCCACTGAAGTGCTCAGAAGCATTATCCTTTCCATCCTTTCTTGTGACACCATCCTGGAGAAAGAAGACCACTGCAGTGACACGTCAGCTTCTAGTTCACACTCCCATTACTTCCCCAAAAGCCCTGAGGAGCCATAAACGAACACTCGAGCCCAAGGCAATGAGGCTGACAAGAAAGAATGAGATCACCGAACAAAAAGGGAGGGGGCAAGTCAAGTACTGAAATCCACCCACCATTAAAGAACATTTCTGAAAACACCCAAATCCCCCAAACTGCACTCTTCACTTCATCACCATTCTATGTGTGTATGTGGGCAGGGCGGGAGGGGGACACGCGGGCAACAAGCCTCCCTTTGGCGGGAGAGCAGGTTCCAGGAGGTGCGGCTTCCACGGGCTTCTCCCGTTCTTCCTCCCAAATCCACCCTGATCTAGGCACTGCAGGACAAGGAACAACTGCAGAACTGTGCTTCCTTCTCTTCACTTTTAAATCTTTTGACTCTTTCCACTTTACGCCTCACGTGAGTTGCCCTAGAACAACACAAATCTAACTTTTTTTCACATCCCTACTGCTAAAAGAACGTAACATGGAAGTCAAAAAAGGTTCTCTATTCCAAATGTGTTCATATTAATCTAAAATAGGAGTCTGAACTTGGGAGTCTTCAACTTTTATCAGCAACATAACCCTTGACCAGAAAAGACCCAAGAGAGAGCACTGCATAACAGAGTTTGGTCTAATCTTTACTCAGTGAAGCACTCAAGGTGCCCAGCGGGTCACAGGACAGGGAGAGACGGGCACAAGGTTCCAGCAGCTAGTAAATTACACACAACATTCGAGGGGGTTTTCTCGACCTTCATTTTAGAGGGTAGTGCCCTCTGGAGCTGGTACTTCACCTCTGGATGGAGCAGGCTGCATGGGCAGCAACTCACATCACCTATCCCCTGTGTTAATTTTCTCGGGGCAAAACAGATTCTGCTACAGATTTGAGTTTAAGACTCTGTCTTTTACAAAGTTGGCTGGTCCTTTTAGCTTCAAATGAAAATGCTTCATTAATCAGAGCCTACAAAACAAATACCAGGCGTCATTATGCCAGTGTTTTACCTCACATCCGAATCAGGTTAAATTTTCATGGCAATTCAATCACGCAAGTCTCAGACATGAAAAGCAGCTAGGCTATCATATTACCTGGCATTTCTCCTTTGAAGATGTTGAAGAAGGATGCTGCACAGAGAAGCTGGAATTCCTTTTCTGACCAAATCTACTCCTAAGTAAGGAAAAGAATCACAGTAGATAGAATGTTTGCTTTTGTGACTTAAGAGATGAAAATGCCCTTTCAACAACTTAATCTTTTCCTGGAAAAGTTTTCTTCTGCAAGGTTATTCTTTCATAGCCATGACACTCATCCCCTTCAATTTTTCTACTTTACTCTCCTAGGAAATAACTGATGCATCTCAAGCAAGAACCACTCAATATCTTGTTCAACATATGATGGAAACCATCCTCAAATTCTAGGTAGGAAGATTATTCTAAACCAGTATACCAAATAGCACAGTCATTACTGATTGCGGAACACCAGCTAATCATCTCATTAAAGTGTAATCGCTATTCTGTATCTCTTATTTTTAACATCAACTCTTAAACAAAACAGATCATGTCTCCTTCCCCTGAAAACTCAGCTTCGGAAAGCAGGGGACAATGTAAAGGAAGAACGTAAGATTATACGTCTTTCCCCAAGTCCTGCAAATCTAGACGACCCAATCCCTCCCTGAGAGATTTTCTACTACGCCTGCCCTGGCTCTATTCCTAGCCTAGACTGTATGGCCTCCTCCCATGCAGGGCAGAGCAGGAATCTCTTACTTTGTTCCTGCTGGTGCGCCAGAAACCCCCCGGTGGCCTGTCCAGGTGGGAACACCAGACGCCGCTCCCAGACACTGCTGGCGGGAGAGCCTCAGCGCTTTCAGGGCATCCTGGGCCACCCGGTTGGCCTCGGCCTCCACCAGCACATAATCCGGATTGGCTCCATCCATGATGGCATCGTGTTTCATGACACTGTGCACACCGACTAGCAAGAACAAAGAAAACCGTGACATATTGTTTCAGTTTGTACACAATTACATTTTTCTTCTGTATAGTCTAGTATGTTGTGGGTAGAGAAAAAATAATGAACACTTTCAGCTATTTGCCAAGGTGACTATCATGACCCAGGAACTTCACAAATGCCGTTGCCACTCACCTTCATCATTACCCTACAAGGTAGGGACTACTCACTACCCCTGTTTTATAATAATTGAAGCATAATGCCTTTGTCACCACAACTTCAACATCCCTGCTATCTGGAAAATTTTAAAACCTCTTATTAATCAATTCTTTATTGAAGGGAAAAATATGAAAATATAAACCAGAATTATAGAATTTTTAAAAACTAACGATCATGAAAATGCTACTTATCAGAATTTAATGCAGGTATCAGTGGAAAATTCACAGCCTTAAATATTTATACATCAATAGAAATGAAAGAATAAAAACAAATGAATTAAATTTCCAAGTCAAAGAGTCTTATAAAAATTAAGCCAAAGGGGCACCTGGGTGGCTCAGTTGGTTAAGCGACTGCCTTCGGCTCAGGTCATGATCCTGGAGTCCCGGGATCAAGTCCCACATCGGGCTCCCCGCTCAGCAGGGAGTCTGCTTCTCCCTCTGACCCTCCCCCTCTCATGCTCTCTGTCTCCCATTCTCTCTCTCAGATAAATAAATAAAACCTTAAAAAAAAAAAAAAAAATTAAGCCAAAAAAACTCACCGAAACACAACAAAAGCACAAAGAAGAAAGTAATAAAGATAAAAGCAAAAACTAATGAGGTAGAGAATAACCATAGATTTAATTAATAAATTAAAATGCTGGTTTATGTTTTTAAGAAAAATCACAAAAGAGACCCCTAGCTTAACCTGACCAAAAAAGGGGTGGAGGAAATATACAAAATTAGAAATGACCAGGGAGAAATTATCTTGAAACAGAAACAAATTTTTAAAAAACTGTTACAAGAATATTTTCAGTGCCTCTGTGCAAATAAACTTGAAAACTAGACAAAAGAGATCATTTCCTAGGAAAACAGGAAAAATAAAAAGTTACCAATAAACTACCTTACAAAAAGGTATCAGGCCCAGATGGTCTCTTTCTGAAATGCCGTACAGAAACCTGGCCTTCCCGCACCGAGAACCACGAACAGTGATGTCTGGTAACTCGGGGCCATCACACTGTGAACCCAGTGAGTGCCAAGGCCTGAACAAGACGACACCCCCAGGGATGACAAAGCTATGCAGGACTGCCTATCCTCTCCGGTTCTGAGCAACTGTTGAGTCTGCCTTCCTGAGTTTTCTCCCTTGATGTGAGCAAGCAAGCTTTCCTACTTCCAGAGTGCCTGCCCTGGCCTGCCCCTGCCTCTCTCCCATGGCTGTTACTTTAATCTCCTGTGGTTGGAAAATCAGGTAAATACACCACGTACAAAAACTTCCTATCACCGTTCAGTACTACAAACCTACTTAAAGCACTGCACCCCTCCTGTGTGTGGTTGTAAGTCAAGTACTGTTGCTCTCCAGAGTTTCAAATTCCTCTAGGTCTTCAAAAAAGAGAGGTGAATACGATTTTCAAAATGTCGATACATTTCAAATCTGAATTTTAGAAGAAAAGATACTTCCAGTTGAGAGCCCACTCTGCCCTGTGAGTCAAGGCTGCCACTGCTAGCAACAGCCTACTCCTCTTCTGTTCCTAGCACACCTGCGGCAAATTCAGCAAAAAGATTACCTGACTTTTTGAAAAGCTTTTCCAAGACATAATCATCATTGCTCTGTTCACTGGTCTCACTCTCGTTTTCACTGTCTCGCTTCCGGTACCGCCTTTTCTTTACGAGGTGTGGAATTCGAGTTCCTTCAAACTTGGCATCTCTGGGATGCTTAGGGCTCTTCGGCTTCTGCGCTGGCCTCCGATGCTGCTCCAGGGGCTCTTCTTCCAGTGCACTATGTTTCATTTTTGACTTGTGCTTAGAAAAATTACTTTCCGATGGCTTATTCTCCCAAAGAGGTTCTGTCTGAGCCCGGCAGCTTTCTCTTCTGTCGGGAAGACCCTGCTTTTCATTGATGCTTTCCTCACTAGACAGCCCGTCCATTTTGCTGATTCTCAGAGAATCTGAACAATCCCCATGTCCACTAATCACAGATGATTCCTCTAGTCTAGACACTGTGTTCATGTCTTCTCTAAGCCCGTCACTGCCAGGTGGAGTCCTAGGGGGCTGGGGGGCACCTTTCAAAGGATCGCATGGATCAGAAGTTACTGCATTCACTTCAGCTCCTGTAGCTGTAGATTTCTCTTCAGATGATGTGGCCTCGTTTGTGGATACATTAGAATCAGGAAACTTTTTGCATATTGGAACATTATGGTCTGCTCCAAAGGCCGGCGGAAGTTTTCTTTTTAAATGGAGCTTGGGAGCCTGAACTTCTGAGCCAGTTCCTGAAAGGGGAAAAACACGCTCAAGTTACATGACATAATTCTTCTGTACTTTATTATTATTATTATTTTTATTTATTTATTTATTCATTTGAGAGAGCGAGAATGAGAGAGAGTACATGAGAGGGGGGAGGGTCAGAGGGAGAAGCAGGCTCCTCGCTGAGCAGGGAGCCTGATGCGGGACTCGATCCCGGGACTCCAGGATCATCTGAGCCGAAGGCAGTTGCTTAACCAACTGAGCCACCCAGGCGCCCCTGTACTTTATTATTTTAAGTGAACTTATTTTATGTAATACCTGCAAAAATAGCACTTGTTTCAGTACTCTGGGATGCGTCAGGACTCGTCAGAGTGAACAGCTCATAAAGATCATTGGACTTGAAAAATCGCCTTTGCTTCGGATCTTTCAGCACTCTGTTTGTCAGAAACTGTTTGAAAATTTGTCTAAAGAGATAAAAATTAAACTGGTATAAAACAACGTTCAGCTGCACCTCGAAATCCTAGTTCTAAAACAATCTGAGAGATACGATAACTGTAGCTGAACAAATGTCTCAATCATCCCCAAGCTTTTCGCCTTGGAAAATTACAATTCAGAAAGTACATAAAATATCGGGTGGTCTCCCATGCTTGACAGAATTTAAATCACAAAGAGTATCTTATTTATACCCAGTGGGCTTTTTCAATCTCCAAGATCCATCACATGTCAGGAATCACCTTTCTACATAAAATCATGTGACTCACAGCCTCTCTGAGCTGGAAAGAGCTGGATTCCGGGACTCCTGGACCAAGGGTCCCCTGCCCGGCCCTCCTCAGAACCCTTCTGTGATGGGATTCTGGAAACGCTCTTACCTGGCCTTTGCAAAGCTCTCCCTTGGAGCCATCTCACCCACCTTCTGCCTGCTGATTCACACTCTAGCTGAAGCTCCACACCATTGTCACTCCTGCCCACACGCCCCCACAAAGCAGTCCTGCTCCCCCTCCCCCCACACCTCCCCACCCCAAGGCTAAAACATGTCTAAGAGGAAGCTCTCCCTCACAGGACACAGCTCGTCTCTTGCCTTCTCAGAATAAGGCCTTGAAGAACACACACCTATCAGGGAGTGGCCCAGTGCATGGTGGAAAGCAGGGAGCCTCCCTTTAAGAGAGGGGGTGCAGTTCAAGAATAAAGTCTTCGGCAGAGGAGGGGGAGAAGGTGGCCGTATCTCCACCCCACTGTTAAAGGGACCCTTGTCTATACCCCGACTCGTTGTACAGAGAGATGGAAAAAGAACAGGAGTCCTAGTCAACCTCTCCCTCGGAGGCATCTGAGTCAAAGACCACCAGGCTACCCACACTGATCACAGCTGCATGGTGTGGGAAAATTCCCATATGTATTTCAACTTTGTCACTTCTTAAAATTTTTCTGAAAAGAAGATGGTACACTATAGAAGGTATATACATTTCTCTTAAATAAAGATTAAGATGAAGTTTATACATAAGCAGTCTCTGATGTTTAATAAGGTAGAAAAATGATCAGGTTCAAAGACATTTTTTAAAAACTCACAATAAGTCATCTAAGCTTAATGAGAACGAAAAAATACAAAAAGGAAACAACAAAACCCCCTCACATATCCTTTAAGTTACAGTAACTATTGCTCTAAGATAAAAACACATTTTTAAAGCAATACATTTAAAACCTTCCCAGCTCAACCCGGGCGGCATCCTTCTACAGCTACATCGTGTACACGCGGCAGCCAGGAGAGCAGTCTCCGGTCACGGAGCAGGCCGCCATCTGTACTGACCGGTGGTAAATCTTTTCTTCAATGGTGCCCGCAGTCAGCAGCCTGTACACAGTCACTTGCTTCCTCTGGCCTATCCTCCATGCGCGCTCCCGGGCCTACGGCAGAGAGATGCATTTCTTTTTTTTTTTTTAAAGATTTTATTTATTTATTTGACAGAGAGAGACACAGTGAGAGCAGGATCACAAGCAGGGGGAGAGGGAGAGAGAGAAGCAGGCTCCCCCGCGGAGCCGGCAGCCCGATGCAGGGCTCGATCCCAGGACCCTGGGACCATGACCTGAGCTGAAGGCAGACGCTTAACGACTGAGCCACCCAGGCGCCCCGAGAGATGCATTTCAACAAGCGCCCTTCCCGGTGACAAGCGCTTTCGAAAAGAAACAGAGACAGCCGGCTGCTTCCTCCCCCTGCCAAAGCCAAAATTCTGCCTAATGACACTAAATACACCTCAGGCCCATTAAGGAAGATAAACAGGCAAGTCCCAAAGATAGATTGAGCCACCTCTACGTGAAAAACAACGTGTGTTGTAACTTTGCACTCTCTTTGTACCCTAAATGTAGCGACGCATGCTACAGATAAAACTGCTGAAGATTCTTCCTCCATGCTGAGGACTAGGCAACAACCAAGATGGGAGCTCCATGCGGAAGCTGACAGGAGCACCAAAGGCCCCTCACAAGGGCTGGCCACTCAACTGTCTGCCACTCGCACGCTCCTTTACCTGTGTGTCTGTGCTTGGGTTCCAGTCAGGATCATAGATGATGACTCTGTTTGCCCCCGTCAGGTTGACTCCTATGCCACCCACCCGAGTGGTCAGAAGAAACACAAATATGGATGTGTCCTAGAGTAAGACGCACAACATTCAGTATGCACATTGAAGACTGGTGACAGCTCTTCCCTCTGTCTTTACATATTCTACACATGGAAATCTCTTCCAATACAAAGGATGGGTTACGTCCTAGAGATCGCTGGTCAGTCAAGATGCCATCTCACAGCTCCTGTTTTTAATACCAATTATATTGGCAATATCTCAGAGTTGGCTTTTCAAGAAGGAATATACATTCTTTGTTTACACACACACACACACACACACACACACTCACTCACTCACTCCAGGAATGCCCAGAGTTAAAAGAGGAAAGTCTCCCTCTACCCTCTGCCCATCCCCAATGTAAGCAGGGCTCAGGTGGGTGAGGCTGTTCTTCTTTCTTCCTCTGCACAGAGTAGCACTACTTGGCTTTACTGTTAAATTCACTTGTTACCTCATTATATCTTGTAATCAGTGGTTGTCTTGAAGCTATTGCAGTGGTACCATCCATCTTGAGGTAAGAATACTTTTGAGCTCTAAGGAATACTTCAAGTATGTCCAACATCTGTTTGGGAGAGGGGGAAGGGGATTAAGAGCTTAAAAATCAAACACACACCTCCAGTGAGGTCCACATTTGTCTAAACAGTCACACCTTCCCCAACAGGCTTAAATTAAAAGGGGCTTCTTGCTTTGAGGCAGATAAATATAACTACTACGGGAGTATTTTTGATATTTCCCTACTGCTAATTCTTACAGGGCATCTATCTAAGTTCAGACCCAAACCTGCTCACACCCTAGAATCACATGGTAAACCTTTTACAAAAGCCAACTTCTAGGCACCAACTCTAGAGAAAGATCCAAGCTCCCAAAGAGATTTGCAGGCTGCCACCTCAGTATCAGCAGGTGAATTTGCTTTTAGAATCATTTTAGATTATAGCCCATTTTCTTAATAACTTGTTAAAAGTCTTAACCAAATTGTGTCTTGTATGAGGTCTGTATACTCACTTGTCTTGACTGAGAAAACAGCAATACTCGTTGACCCTGCCTGTGCCATATTTTCAACAAGGACTCAACCACTATCATTTTCCCAGAGCGTTTCCAGTATCCAAACTGATCTTCTTCTAGTTCATCATCTGGAATACCTTTAGGATTCTTTGGGCCTCCAGAAAAGAGATCAGGGTGGTTGCAGATTTTTCTTAGGACTACAAGTCCAGAGAAAATCTATGGTATAAAAGAATTACGTGCATTTGGATTATGCCATGTAAAATAACATTCACTTGGGAAGGAAGGGAAGAATGCTATTCGATATGTAACACAGATTAAAAAGTAATTCCTGGGGTGCCTGGGAGCATCCATTTAGGCCCAGGTCATGATCTCAGGGTCATGGGAACGAGCCCCGCAACGGGCTCTGCACTCAGCACTGAGTCTGCTTATCCCTCTCCCTTTGCTCCTCTCCCTGCCCATTCCCTCTCTCTCTCTCTCTCTCAAATAAATGAGTATTTTTAAAAATCTTTAAAAAAAAAAAAAGTAATTCTTCACCAGCTTCTTAGCTTCCTCCCTATTCTCAGCATATTAGGAGCCAGAAGAAATCAACCTTCATTCATCTTTTCTTGATAAGTTAAATTCTCTAGAAACAAAAACATATCTGCATGGGAAATACACAAATGGGAAAGATATGGGGGTGGTTCACGCAGCAGAAGGACACAGGAGATCGGGAGTGCCTGCCCTCCAGGCCCCAGCAGGAGGGCATCCTTCACAGCTTTCCAAGTATGATTCAAATCAAGCTCATGAGTACAAATGCTCAAGGAGAAAAGATAAACCGTAAGTTAAGCCAATAATCAAAGAGTACAGTAGTTCTAACTAGCAAACAACAGTTAAACAAATAATAAAAAATGTGAACAAATCAGGAATATTTCAGAACTCCCCCAGAGTCATCTGCAACTCCTCTGCCTCTAGATCTGTGCTTCCAATACAGTGGCCACAAGCCACAGGAGGCTAGTCTAAACTGAAATGTGCTGAAAATGTAAAATATCCAATTTTGGAGACATAGTTTAAAAAAAAAAAAAGGTACACTATCTCATGTATTAAAATGACATTTTAGATAGAGCAGGTTAAATAAAATTCATTACCAAAATTCTCTTTACCTTTTTTAATATGACCATTAGGACAATTTAAAATCACACATGCAGCTTACATTCTGTATCTACAGGCCAGTGCTAATCTAGACCACCTAAGGCTTCACAACTTGGAGGCACGTGAAGGGCAGATTTAGGAGAGATGAATAAATGTGAATGATTTAAGAACCTCTAATAGAGGCCAATGATTGATGAACTAAAAGAAATGGTGAGCCATGGCTAAAAGAACTGAAATGACTTCCTCTGGAAGAAGAAGCGTGCAGACATGATGGGACACAGGCAGCCATGCCTCCCGCACTCATCTCTTTATCAACCTCTGTTTATAGGGAAGTGTGTTTCAGAGAGTAAGATGCTTGCTACTCAGCTGTACCTCCCATGAGGACAGACCCAAGACTAAGGAAGTTTTATGTGTCTAATAAATAGAACACAATTTACACTTTAAGACCCTGAAGCACAGAGAAACTGAATAGTTCATATGGAGCTTCAAAGTATATGCTGATATAAACCTACTACATATGCTTATCGAACAGACCTTTCCCAACATCTATTGCTGAGTATTGCCAATAATGCTGTTACTATTATTGTTAATAATAAAATGTTATTTTGTTATTACTTACACAAACATTTATAATAATAATTCTTCCTTCATGCCCCTGCTAGCCCCAGCAGTCGGGGCCACTTCCCTGCGTTCTGCATAGGACCAGACATCGGTGCAGGACTCACCACTACAGACCCTGCGTCTAGCACTACTCTTCTGCTAGACCACGTGACGTGGGGTTCAAGTGTAACCATGCTGCAATGCAGACAAAAGGAAGTGTGCTCAAATGTAACTGCACGTTCCCTTACTTCCGGCTTTGAATTAAGAGATGGTTCACACCCAAGTGTTTCCAAGAGGTAACTGTGAAACATGACTAGTACTAGCTTCCTTTCCTCCCCCGCTTCCCTGCTCTACAATTCATTTCTGACCTGCATATCTCCATTGAGAATTCTGTAAACTTCTTTGGAATCGATAAAATTTTGGTAGACTTTATGTTGTTCCTCTGTAAGACGGCAAAATAAGACCTATGGGGGTAGGAAAAAAAAAAAACAACCCAGAGAATTAAAATAATTAAAACATCAACAAAGTTTTCTAATCAAAAAAGTACAATGTATACAATTTTAACAATGCACCTCTTATTTTAAAAAGCCAAAATGGTGCCCCATCTCAGAGCTAAACAAAGACACAGTTACCCCTTCTCATCAGCCCCTCCACTTCTGCCATCCATCCACCTCCTGGTCCCCACCTACTATCCCAACAGTCCCCCAATACTGGCTTCCTTCCCACAACAAAGTTCAGGACCAGATGCACAAGCCCTCCTCCATCCTAGCCTCCAAGTGCTCAGACTGTCTCACCGCCCATGCCCCTCGCCCACACTTCACTTCAGCACACCTGACCAGAGACCCTATCCTGGAGGCCAAAGCACAGGTCCATGAGTTTACCAGACCTGTCCATCCTCCCAGCCCGACTGTGCCTGTTACTCCATGCCAGAATGTTCCTTGACTTTCTGCCTCTCAATCCTCCTCTTTCTTCATGTCCACTCTATTCCTTAGTCATAAACCCAAGACATTTTCCTTCAGCTATCCCTTTGCCACCCACTACATCTGCCTTGTAAACTTCCAAATGAAGACTGACTCAAACACCTGCCTTTTCTACTCCTTTTATGCTAAGTGCTGAGCGCTGCTGGAGAACCTCACCCATCTGGGCAGTGTCTTGCTCCTGGTCTCGGGGAGAATTCTGCAGGCACTCCCTGCTCAGCCCCTTCTGTAAACCCAGAATGGCTGTGACAACACTCCTCATTCTCCCCAAGCCACCTACTGACCTACCCACCTTTGATTCAATCTCTACTTTAAAAAAATCAAACGGACACCTGGGTGGCTCAAAACCTTAAATGCCTGCCTTCGGCTCAGGTCATAATCCCACGGTCCTGGAATTGAGCCCCTCATCAGGCTCCCTGCTCCCTCCCCATGAGGAGTCTCCTTCTCCCTCTCCTTCTGCCCCTACCCTCCTGGCTCGTGCACTGTCTGTCTCAAATAAATAAAAATCTTAAAAAAAAAAAAAAAAACCCACACACAACAAATGAAAACATCAAAAACCGAAACCAAAGCTATCAGTCATGATTCCCTAATTTTCACCCCCTAAAATTTATCTACTTTATCCACCTCACTTTGTTTTCCTTTATTTTCAGGGGAACAGCCAGCTCCCTGTTTGGGAAGAGGGCAACCCTCTGACCTTCATACCAGATCTAAAAACCCTCTCCTCTTCCTCTGGACAGTGCTCCGCCACCTTAGACTCTCCAAAAAGTGATGGGGAAAATTCCCTAAAAGGATTTATGTATAATCACCATCCTCACATACTCACCTTCCAGCCTCTTCTGGTCCCAGCACAAGCCTGGAGGGCATGGCCACTGAGAAAGTGCTGTGGACAAGCTAATGACTTCCTAGCAGCCCGCCACACTGAGTCCCTAGGCCTCAGGATGCCACTTGCCCGAACCCACCTCCTGCCTTTCTGCCTGTCCTCCTGTCCTCCCAGCTAGCCCCTCCTGGTACCGTCTCCACAATGCTGCAGCTTCGCTCTCCTCGTTCCGTGTATGCGCCTCGGGCAACTTCATCCCTGCTCATATATTCACGCCTTCCCTGCTCAGAGGTCACAACTACATCCCTGCCTAGAACTCTCCCCTCAGAACCTGAGGCCCATTTATAACTGCCTTTGGGACAGGCAGATGTGCCGTGAGCACTTCAAACGACCCGAATCAACTCACAAATATCTCCTCCACACTCTGTCCTTTTGAAGTGTCTGGCAGCAGATCTGTCCCAGCATCTAAACAGGAAACCTGGGAAGCACCTGCCAGCCCCATACCCTCCAGGGCTCAGGCCCATGCCCTCTGTGGACTCTGGAAGGACCACCTAACTCATCCCTTTGCCTCCATTTTCCTTCCCTTCCAATGCTTTCACATGCTGCCTGAGTGATCTTTTGAAAATATGAACCTGAGTATTTCTAATTCCTGATTTCATAAATTTGTATTTCAGTCTTTTAAATACAATGGCAACAGAGAAAAGCCTTTCCTCTGTTAACCACAAGGTTAACTGAACTAAATATTCACCAGATGCTGTTTCTGCAAATCAGTTTTAGGTGTTACATGGCACTTTAAGGTGGGTAGTAAGACGAAGTCCTGATCTCAAGGAGTTCTAGTCAAGAGCCTAGTGGGGGGCGCCTGGGTGGCTCAGTTGGTTAAGCGACTGCCTTCAGCTCAGGTCATGATCCTGGAGTCCCTGGATCGAGTCCCGCATCGGGCTCCCTGCTCGGCAGGGAGTCTGCTTCTCCCTCTGACCCTCCCGACCCTCCCCCCTCTCATGCTCTCTCTCTCTCTGTCTCTCTCTCTCAAATAAATAAAAAAAATCTTAAAAAAAAAAAAAAAAAAAGAGCCTAGTGGGATCTTACAACTTCTGTTGTGGGAAACCTGGGGGTGTGGTGGGTGGGTACTGTGGAGGGGGAAAAACCTCCAGGGAGAGAGAACATCACATGCAAATGGAAAGACAAGTGGCACATGTCAGGAAAACAGGAACTGTCTCCAAGCCATGTGCCTTGGCTGCTACATGGATTACAAAGAAGAGACATTCTGGGACTCCACAGTGAAAATAAATTGGTGCAAATAAGCTAAATCAGGATTCTTGATGTTCGGAAGAGGGACATGAAGGTATGTCAGCAGGAAGACAAGCCCTGGAAAAACTAAGCCAGTGACGCTGTGCGATACTGAGTGGAGTGGAGAGTGCCAATGGCTGGGAGAGCAGTCAGACACTGGCTGCCCTAATTTACGAGGATGTGGAGCAAAGAAGTGAGAGCATGAAAAAGCACAAATAAAACAGCACAGCAACAACTGATGGACATGGAATGAGACATAGCACAGAGCACCGTGGCCTGAGACACTGGCGGGAAAGGGAGACCTGTAAGGAGAATGCTAAGATCAAGGGCTGACTTTGGAAATGAGTTTGTGGGGAGGGAAGAGGCGGGGATGAAAGCAGCCTTGGTGACAGATCTCCAAGATCCTTTATAGTTTTGACACTGAGAATCTACAACGTATTTACTGTTAGATGTTGAAAAAAGGGTGCAGTTACCTGTTGAGATAATGGAACACCAGGATGGGCCTTAAATGGATGCCCCTTTTACAACCTAAGTCAGATGACATCACTGCTTTGCTCAGTGTCTCCCTGTGAACTGCCTCCTCACTCACAGTAAAATCTGAAGTCTTCACCATGACCAGCAGGCCCTGGTGACCTGGCCGGCTAAGTGACTTCTCCCTCCAAGTGCTCTCATCCTTCTTCCTGCCCTCAGGCCACACTGCCCTCCTTGCTGGTCCTTGGAGGTACCAACACCCTTCCATTTCCATTGACCTGGAACGCTCTTCTTCCCGAAACCCCATGCTTCGCTTCCTTTACCTTCTTTAGGCCTCTGCTCAAATGTCTGTTTATCAGAAAGGAGACCTCTCACCATCCCTTGTAAGAAGCCCACTTCCCCAAATCCTCGCCCTACATGCCCCATTCCACTGACCCTGCTCAGGGTTTCCTCCACATGACTGCTGCCTGCTGGGTGACGTATGTGGCTACGACTGTCTCCCCTCCTCAAGAACGAAGGTGAGCAACGGGAGAGCAAGCAGCTGCTCTGTTCACTGCTATCTCCCACGAACATGCCTGGCACCTCTGATTTGTGGCATGAATGAGTTGGGGGCTTGAGGAAAATGGACAAGTTCAAAAAGTGCAGTTGCAGGCATCTGTGTGTTAATACGAGAGAGATCAAAGCCTGTGGACTGAGGAGGAGTCCTGCTGAGGGCAGATGCCACAGCAGCTCACCTGTCACATGCAGGTGTACACAGAGACCAGCTGTATACAGCCGCAACCACACCTGTCAGCCTCACCAATTCTGCATATGAAAAGCAGAATAAACAGACAAGTATGTCCACGCATTAGGAATGGGTTGGTAACTCCTGGATTTACAGACCTGTTCATTTTTATCTGGCAAAGAAAGGCTCATTTTGACATCTGACTTCATTCTCCGCAGCAGGTATGGATTTATGGTATCTCGTAAGACACACGCACATTTATAAGCTGTTTTAACCTTTAATAAGAGAAAAGGGCAAATAATTACTTATGTTTAGCAAATGCATTTGTTCTTCTCAATTGATTCCGATGTTAAAAAAATTTTTCTAATGAATTTATACAAAATTGGCTGGAAATGGTTGGAAAATGGTTTGGAAAAATTAGGATAAGTTCCATATACTCCAGGTGGTACCTTTCAGAAGATATCATCAGTTAAAAAACTTATTAACCAAAGTGTACAACAAAAGAACTGGTGATTTTGTGCCGTATTCCTCCTCCATACTTTGCTTTAATTATTATTATATTGTTAAACCCTAAAGTAGAGATTTCTTCAGTCCTCGACTACCCTCTAGGGAAAAAACGGCTTTCAAATGAATCTCTGTTTATAATCTTGCATTCTCCAAAAGCTACAAAGGAACTGCTGCTCTGTGAGACTGAAGATCAAAAGCTAACTCTGGGGGAAAGCTGTAGCCATGGGAGCAACCAGATAATAAGCAGAGATTACTGCCCACTGGGGACTTAGGAGAGTAAGTTCAAGAAAAGCCCTATGATCCCAGAAATGAAAGGTCACTCTAGCCTGAGATGGAGCATATGGTTCTGTAATGGAGCATAGCCACATGAGATGCGTATTAACTGTATGTAGAAAAACAAAGACCCCACAGCTCAGGAAAAACACCCTCTGCAATTCACTTAAAGGCAAACAAAGAATTCAATAAATTATTGATACTTAAAAAAAAAAATCTAAATAGGCTTAACCACCTAGTAAATTACTATTTAACGGAACAAGAAAAATTCCAACCAAAGTCTAAGTTTAACAAAATTAGCTGCAAAATAAATGACAATAAAAAAAGCATGACCATAACACATACAGAAAAATTCATGTTAAAAAATTAACATAGGGGCACCTGGGTGGCTCACTCAGCTAAGCATCTGCCTTTGGCTCAGGTCATGATCCCAGGATCCTGGGATCGAGCCCCGCACCGGGTTCCCTGCTCAGCAGGGGGCCTGCTTCTCCCTTTCCCTCTGCCCCTCCCTGCCCGCTCATGCTCTCTCTCTCTCACTCAAATAAAATCTTTTTTTAAAAAAAATAACACAGTGAAAATCATTTTAAAAGACCCTAAGTATACCTCACTCAACTATGTATACACATATGTACATATATGTGTGTTCACCTTGTGTGTATGTGAGTACATACACAGAAAAAACAGGATTTACTTGGAATAGCAGACAATAACAAGTTCAATTAATCAACAACTTTTAGTTACAGGTAACCTCGTAAATGTATCATTCAGACACAGATTAAAAATTACCCTTAAGATGATGATCAGGTACGTACTATGGTTTGTAATACAGAGATGATAAATTTCAAAATTTAACATGACTTTACAGTCCCACCAAGGAAGCAAGTACACTGTTTAAATCTTCCTAAAAACATATACAGTATGTTAAGGAAACTATCTCCACATCCCCACCTCTACTCACATATTTCTCCTCCAGAAGCACGAGTGAGCTGGATGATAATGCTGGAAAACCAGGGCTGGGTTGGTGAGTGGCCTGGCAACTCATATCTGCTCTCCCTCCTGCCTGTCCACCCCCTCTGGAGAGTTCTCCTTCTACCACCCCTCCCTGTCCCTGACCCACTGTGGTGAACTCACAGGGGTCAAACTCACAGTGGCTGGGGATGGGTCTGTTTTTCATAACCAACTCTCCTCAGAGGAAGAACTAAAACTCTAGAATGTAGTGGGAATGGGAGAGCAAGGAAGACTAAGAAACCCAATCTTAGCCTTGATGTCCAGCCACGTTCTCAGTCCAACTTTCCTAGGCAATCCTGTGCTTTAGGCAATAAAGCTAATTCTATATTTACTTCCCATCTGCCTCCCTGTCTCTCTGAGTACACACATGGTAGGGATCCAACTGTATTTCTCTTAACTATCACTCCCAACTTCCCAGTGCCATGTAAAATGAAGACCAACTGAGCACGTCCATGTTTCCTTCCTATTCCTGACAAGGCAGAGTGACAATTACTCCCCAGTTCTGCCTATTCCAGAGCTGAGGGACCTTAGGCCATTCACCAAACCACTGAGTCTCAATAACCTTGAGCAAGAAATGAGGAGGTTCTTTCAGTTCTTTATTTTTTTCTTTTCAGTTCTAAAATCTAAGCTTAACATGCAAAGCCAAGAAGCAGGCCATATTCTTGGTAGTTAATGTTTTTTCCCCTCACCTTCCTCAGCCTAGCACAGTCATTTCTCCCCCAAGAAGCCTTTCTTGACTCCCACAAGCTCTGATATTGGATATCTCCCCTGATCACAGTCCTCATTATGATAATCCCACTGGACTGAGAACACTATTCAAGGGAAGGTTCTGGTTGCCAGCCACCTCTCATCATTTTAGCCCCAGCCTGACACAATAAATATCTGCTGACAGACGATCTTCTTGGGATTCAGTAACTCACCGCAACGATGGACTTAAAAAAGCGAATATAAAACAACAGCTCTGGGGCGCCTGGGTGGCTCAGTCAGTTAAGCGTCTGCCTTCAGCTCAGGTCATGATCCCAGGGTCCTAGGATCGAGCCCCACGTCAGGCTCCCTGCTCCGTGGGACGTCTGCTTCTCCCTCTACCTCCTCCCCCTGGCTCGTGCTCTGTCTCCCTCTCTCTCTCTCAAATAAACAAATAAAATCTTAAAACAAAACAAACAAATAAAAAAACCCAACAGTTCTGCTCCCAAAGACCTTATACCTACAAAGGGAAAATAGGTAAGTACACAGACTTCTAACATAAGGACGAAAGAGACCATATTTACAGAGTCTCCAAGTCTCTCCCTACAAGTGATTTATTAATTCCAAAGGAAGTGGTTAATTTGAAGAGTTTAGAAATCTGGTAAATACCACCTTACCCCAGTAATCAGATACCACCAATTGTCACCACCCATGAAGGATAAACCAACAGCATGTGCCTCCAGAGGTGAAGCACCGAGAAAGACAAGTCACAGAGAATGGAAGACAAACCAAAAGTGAGGCTCATTCTACAAAATACAAGGCCCATAGTCTGGAAAGATATCGAAGTCACGAGAGCTAAAACAAAACTAGAGGAACTGTTGCTGATTGAAGGAGGATTAAAGAGACAGGGAAACTACTTGAACAACTGGCAAGATGTGAATGACTACAGACCTCAGAATTGTATTGGTGTTAAATTTCCTCCTGATTTGGATGTTTTTACTGTGGCTACGTAGGGGGATGTCCTTGTTCTTAAGAAATACACACTGAAGGACTTGGATAAAAGGGACATAATGTCTACAACCTGCTCTCAGATGAGTCAGGAAAAACAAACAGTATAAATTTGTGTGCACGTGTACAGAGAAGTAGGGAAGGAAGGAAAGATAAAGCAAATGTGGCAAAATGTTAGCAAATGCTGACAACTGGTGAATCTAGTGAAGAGCATAGGAGTTTTTTTCTAATTCTTGCAACCTTCTGTTAAGTTTGAAATTATTTCAAAATAAAATTTCTAAAAGAATGGTATAAAAGAAGGACAGCAGGGATTCCATGGAGGAAGAGGGGCTCTTATAAAAGTTAGTTATAAGTCATTCTACCTCAAGTATTAAAATGATTTTTAACAATCCCCTAATTTTAAAGGTCCAAAATTCTTTCTCTAAGTATTTTTAAACACGTAAATGTCTCTTTTGGTAGATGGCTTTATTTCTGGCTCAGTCATGACCTGGTGGGTGCAGGCCCCACCTGAGGGCTTGTGCCCTTCACCACGGCTGAGGTCTGCCTCCACATGCCACAGACCGCCCTCAGGTCAGTGTCCTGATGTTCCTGTCTGTGACAACCCCCTCCCCCAACTTCTGCCAGTCACCCAGGTCTAAAACCTCAGGGGTCAGCTGTAGCAAGCTCACCACTTCCACCCCATTTCCTTTATCTTAGCGGCCCCCACATCTTGTTTGTTCTACGGAAAAAGATGCCACTTGGAACTTTTGCTCTCCACCTTCTTTCTCAGAACCACCACCCAAGTCCAGGTCCAGGTCCTCATCACCCTCACCCCTAACAATTCCTGGGGGTCCCTCACCACTTGCAGCCTGAGGGACCCTCCAAGAGCAGCCCTCTTTCAGCCTCCTGCTCAGACACCTTCGGTGGCTCTTCGCTGGCTGAGAGCCTCTGCCTCCCTTTCAAGGCCCCCATATCTGGCATCCACACCTTCCATGTTACCCCACGAGCATCTCCAGTGCAATGAGGCATGTCTCTTCACTGTGGCCGGTGGCCACACAACACGGCTGTGTTCACACCACTGCCCTAATCTAGAATGGCCCCACTCTTCTTGGCCTGTTTTCCCAGAATCAGGTCCTCTCTGAACAACTCAATCCTCCCTGGCTTCCCCTTTGCTAAGCTTTGACACTATCTTAGAAAATGCACTAAATTATATAGTGTCCAGAACTGATTCATTCTTGTTTCATAATTTCTGACCGGTTTTGAATACATTACATGATTTTTTAAAACTCATCTGGAAAAATATGAGGTGTCAAGCAAAAATAATTTTGTGATTTTTGGCAGGTACCAGTTTATAAGCTTGGCCATTTCCCTTAGATTACGAATGACGTGACTACAAAGTATAGTATTAAGTAGGAACAGTTTAAATATTAAAACACCTAGAAATGTCACCTGCCTAATACGTTACCTGCACCGGGGAGGCATTTGAATATCCCCCCATGGTGATGGGGACCGAGAACTGCTCCATGAACACGGGCAATGTGCCTAACTTTCCTGGGAAGATGAAGTCAAAGAGCGACCATAGCTCCCGGAGGTTATTTTGCATCGGTGAGCCAGACAAGATGATGCGATGAGGGGTGCGGAACTAATTGGGGAAAGAAAACCCTTTTTTATTAAATTCACTTTTCAAGAGACGATCACCATCCCCACCCCAAAATATTCCCATACACTCCTGGTTATTTAACACTTTTACGTATCATTTTAATCATCTCCAAAATGTATACGTTTTATGCAATACAGAAAAATAAACAGGGAAGAATTTTTCTTATTGTTCAAGCTGAATACTAGGGATGAGAGTTGGATCTGGTTACATTCTAACAACTGACCCCTACGAGAGACAGTCAGTAATGTGAACAATGAGAATTTTTAAAACCATGATTATGGGCAAGAATAAAAAATTTTATGCATTATTTCCACCTGGAAATCTCCCTTCCTATAAAAAAGGTCATACCTGTTTGCAAGCAAGGGTGACAGCAGCGTTTGGATTTCGAATTTTGTGTCCCTCGTCCAAGATCACATAGTGCCAGTCATGTCTGCTAATGTCATCCTGCATCAGCCGAATGTAGGAGTAAGAAGTGATCAAAATGCCATGACAATGAGCAATATCTCGAATTAGTTTCTCCTAAAATGATGATAAAATGGTAAAGCCAGTTTTAAATAAGCTCATTTAAATAAACTAAATGAGCATGATTCTTTAAATGGCAACCTTTCAATGATATAATCTAATGCATTTTTAAAATATGTCCACAATCATAATACATACGATTATAATTATACATTATCAGCACTGGAAGTTTATGTTTCATTAATCTGTAACTGGTAAACACTGACTACTAGATCTACTATTAAGGAGGAGGGCCCTCTCGGCATCAGAGAAATCCAAATCAAAACCTCAATGAGATACCACCTCACACCAGTCAGAATGGCTAAAATTAACAAGTCAGGAAACGACAGATGTTGGTGGGGATGCGGAGAAAGGGGAACCCTCCTACACTGTTGGTGGGAATGCAAGCTGGTGCAGCCACTCTGGAAAACAGTATGGAGGTTCCT